CCCCGCACCAGGCCCACGGCCCCACACCAGGCCCACGGCCCTCACACCAGGCCCACCGCCTTGAATATTCTGACACTTCAAGGGTTGTGAGGTTTCTTGCCTCAGCTACCCTCCCCAGCAATGCATTCCAGACCCCCACCACTCTCTGGGTGTAAACATTTTCCCTCAAATCCCTCGAAACCTATCACTTTAAAATGACACCTCCCACCCCCTTGTTACTGACCCTTCGACTCAGGGGGACAGCTGCTTCCTACCCACCCTGCCCATGCCCCTCATAACCTTATCCACCTCTATCGGGATCCGCCCCACCGACCCACTCTAAAGAAAACAACCCGAGCTTTTCCAGCCTCTCCCCATCGCTAAACTGCTCCATCCCGGGCTATGTCCTGGTGAATCTCCCTCTGCACCCACCCCCAGTACAATCACATTCTTCCTATAGTGTGGTGGTGGAGACCAGAACCGCACACAGTGCTCCAGCTGTGGGCCTCACCAAAGTCCTGCCCAGCTCCGACGTCACCTCCCGGCTCTTACAATCTGTGTGCCACACCTGATAAAGACGTGCCCCCCTTCCCTAACTGCCCCGTTAACCCTGTCCTGCCGCCTTCAGGGGATCTGTTGGTCAAGTATCCCAGGATCCTCTCTTCCCCTCTCAGTGTCCAGCCGTTCAGTGAGCACTCCTTTGTCCTATTCCCTTTTCCAAAGTGCATCGCCTCACATTTATCAGGGTTAAATTCCACCTCTTGCCCAGAGCTTCAGTCTGTGACCCCCTCACCACGAGGGAATGGACACTACATTTTTTTCTTGCCCACCTCGCATAAACACGTCGTGTTGTTCTTCACCTCCCACCAAATCCCCCCTCAACTTCCTTCGCTCTGAGAAGTACAAGCTCAGCATCTCCATTCTAACATTTTTCTCAGAAAATTTGTTTGTGGGATGCTGGCCGGGTCCAGTGTTTATTGCCTCCATCCCTAATTGCCCCCTTTGAGAAGCTGGGGGGTGGGGCAGTGAGCTGCCTTCTTGAACCGCTGCAGTCCCACGTGCTGTAGGGTAGGCCCACAACGTCCCTCTCAGGGAGGGAATTCCAGGAATTCGGACTCAGCCACACTGAAGGAACAGCCGATATATTTCCGAGTCTGGATGGGGATTGGGCTCAGAGCGGGGGAAACTCGCAGGGGGCTGGTGTTCCCATGTATCTGCTGCCCCACCCCACCTTGTCCTTCTAGATGGTAGAGGGGCAGTGGGTTTTGGAAGGTGCTGTCGTAGAAGCCTCGATGAGTCTCTGCAGGGCATCTTGTAGATGGTACACACTGCTGCGACTGTGCCTGAGCGGTGAAGGGAGCGGGTGTTTGTGGATGTGGTGTCAATCGAGCAGGATGGGGGGCTGCTTTGTCCCTGGACAGTGTCGAGTTTCTCAAGTGTTGTCGGAGCTGCTCCCATCCAGGGCAAGTGGGGAGTATCCCATCACCCTCCTGCCTTGTGTCGATGGTGGGACAGGGCTTTGTGGAGGGGAGTGACTCGCTGCAGGATTCCCAGCCTCTGACCTGCTCCTGTAGCCGCTGTGTTTATGTGGGGCTGGTCCATGTTCAGCTTCTGGTCAATGGGAAGCCCCGGGATGTTGATAGTGAGGGGTTCAGTGATGGTAACACCACTGAACATCAAGGGGCAGTAGTTAGATTCTCTCTTATTCGTGATGGTCACAGCCTGGCATTTGTGTGGCGCGAATGTCACTTGCCACCTGTCAGCCTAAGCCTGGATATTGTCCAGATCTTGTTGCATTTGAACATGGACTGCTTCAGTATCTGAGGAGTTGCGAATGGTGCTGAACACTGTACAATCATCGGCGAACATCCCCAATTCTGACCTTGCCAATGGAGGGAAGGTTGATGAAGGTGGCTGGGTGTAGGACGCATTCCCGTTATCCTTGGAGCCATTCTCCAGAGCCTCCTACACCCACCCACCCACCCGCAAGGCCCGTGCGTCAGTCCAAGAAGTCAATTTCTGCGCCGCATACCATGTGGCACTGGGCCCTCACAGTCAGAGAAAAAACGGCGTGTTAAACAACAGCCATCTGATCACTGCAGTTACCGCAAAGGGTTAAATGTAAGACATGGCCGAGGCAGCACATCGAGGGAAAGAGGGAAAAAAATGCCTGCCTCTTCTGCCAAATTTGCAGCCTCCGCAGTGTGACCCCCCAACTTGACCTCTGCATTTCTCAATCACACTGGCTAATGTGCGACCGGAATTGTGCTGGTCTGTAGCAAGAGGCTGACGGGGGTTGGTGGGGGGGTGCGTAGTGTTCGCTGAGAAACGTCACGGGATTCGGGAACATTCCTGAGCTGGAGGAGTGGCCCAAGGTTGGGGGAGCTGGAATAATGCATGGCATTGTCAGGGGTGGGCGTGACCCTTTTTGGACATGGCACAGAGAGAGAGAGGGAAACGTTTGCCCAGCGAGAGGGAAGCCAGACGCTCCTGAAGTCCCGGGGAAACACTGATCCGAGGGGTGGTGCTCTGATCCGAGGGGTGGGCAGCCTTTTAGAGATTTGTTTATCGCATGGAAAGAGGCTGTTCAGCCCATCCAGCGTATGCTAGCTTTCACTGCAGAAATCCATTCAGCCTCACCCCTCGATCCCCCCATCCTCCCTCGAGTGCCCATCAAGTGTCCTTTAAAATAGAACCCTTTCTTCCTTCTTCCACTCCTGTGGTTGGCACAGTCAGGGAAGTTATTTTCCACTAGCCCATCTTCCTTAACAGGTCGTATATCACACAGTCACACAGCACAGAAACAGACTCCGATGGGCCGTTGCCATCATAAACACAAAACACTGATTCCCAGAGATAGTAGGAACTGCTCAATGTGGAGAATCTGAGATAACAAGGTGTAGAGCTGGATGGATACAGCAGGCCAAGCAGCATCAGAGAAGCAGGAAAGAGCCTCAGTCCACTTTGCAACTCACATGTAACTGTCCGAGCCACAGATGCTGATGGTTTCTCTCTTTAGCTTCACCAGGATGGCAGCTCCTTCCTGTTGAAGCCCGATCAGCCTGGCATCCTGCAGGACCTGCCCCATTAACATCTGATCCTCCTCAATAAGGACAGGGATTTCCTGTAACACCGACGGAAAATTAGCACACACACAGTCAAAGTCAAAGCTCCACATTATTCAGCTATCCCAGCTCTGTAGACCACACCTCACGCTCAATATACAGTCCTGAGTCAGAGTAGCCTCTCTCTTATGCTACAACTTCCACTATAGCCTCATCCAAATACATCAGTACTGTGTGTTAGTGAGGGAGGGGCTGGGAGAGAGGGACAGGCTCTGTGTTAGTGACGGAGGGGCTGGGAGAGAGGGACAGGCTGTGTGTTAGTGAC